TTACTTTTCTGCGTCCATATTGGACAACCCTTTACTAACTAGCTGGGCGCCAACTTGTAATATGGTCTTGAATGGTCATGTGATACCTTATTTTGATGCTCCTTAGTTTTAAACCTAGAATGTATAATCACTATATTTCAAAATAGCGGACTGACAAGCTGTCAAATTTGAGCGATTTTCCACATTGAATCGCGTATAACCCAACAACTAATCGTCAGATCGTTATAGTATGTTATAATCAATATCTTTCTTTTGGAAGGGTATATCTAAACGTGCAATCGAATATGAAATTTTCCGTTTAAAAAAAATACATATTTTGAATTTTTTTATTACATATTCGGGTAGACTTTTACTGACTTTATAATCTCGGGTTATGGAGCGCTCATAATGAACTTTAGGTGTTACATCACATCCAAGTCCATTTAAAAACTGCCACTTTTATTACTCCAAATTTCAGCTTGCAAACTCAAAAAATAAGTAGGAGGGGCTTTTTGAACATCACTGTATATTACCAAGAGTAACTTTAGCAATTGGTAATATCCCTTATTGGGACAATAACTGCAATTTGCATTGTAATGTATCATCTTTATCTAAGTCAGGTTTGGATGCCTTGATAGTGCCAATTTACAAGTAAAAAATGGTAGTTTTCAATAAACCTAACAATGAACGCTGCAGTACTTTGAAATTTTATCCCGATCTTAAGTTGCCTACTATGTATGTTTTGTTTAGAGGTGTGACTAAGTATTTTCTCCAAAATTTCACGACTATTAATCACCAAGACACTCTTCATCGATTGCCGTACCCCCGTAATTGCACTGCAGATATTTATAAAGTCGCCCACGCAGAATCATTTTTCTCGGAGATGACGGCCCATTAAATTCGCTGAACGTTTAAAAACGGTCGTATAATATACAGTCAAAATACACCATTTTTGATCACTTCAACGAAACAGAGCCAATGTGCAATGGTATGAATTTTTCTTATTTTATGTGACAGTATTTACTATCAGTATTTACTGGTAAAATTCCGTTAGTTTCAGACGATTTCCACGTAAGCTTGTAGACCAGTTATAACTGACTGCCTGGCTTCTCGATCAAATTCTATGATAAATACTGATGGATCAGTAAATGATGAAACTATACTACAACAATTTAAAACTGTAATGACTCATACGCGTGATCAGAGCTCGATCCCGGCTTCCTTCCAGTACAGCCGTATAGCGTACGACATATGTCGTTTCTGTGGCTTTGCGGTGGTCAACAGCACAGACAGAGATGGAAATAATGGCTGATTGTTCTCCGCCGGTAGCACCAATGAAATCAAAGACGCGCCTCGACCGGCAGACTCATAGGCGTCGGCAACGCATTGGAACGTGTTTCGTTGAGCGATCGCATATTGTGTGTTTTTATAAGAATTGTTGTGTGATTGTTATTGTTGTGGTTTCTGTGGTTACTGTTTTGGTTATACGTAACCATGGATAGTATTGAACAACTAAAACCCAGTGTATACAGGGTGTTTCACAACTTATCCGACATATTTTAACTACATATGTACTGTTACGAAAGAAGTTGATTTCTAAAAAATATATAATAAAAGTCCTACAAAAATTAAGTGATAAACCTGAGTTTCAATAATAAATTGAAAGATAAATATCATCGTCGTGATATGAGAACACGCATTAATAGTTTATTGTAGCGAGTGTTGTACCAAACAACTGACGAAAACAAAATACCAGGAGTTTTTTATTTTTTCATACTGATAAGAACGGGTAAATAAGGTTTAATATGTATCGTGGGTGATCTGAATAAAGAACGGTCGATTTTTGTGAAGTTAAATAAGAAAGTATTTTGCGAGTTTATGTTTTTAGTTATTTATTGATAAAAATGGAACACGTGTACACTTAGATGGAGTTAGTGGACATTGTTTTAGCGTACGGAGAAGCAGGGCAAAATTCGCGAGCGGCTTCTCGTTTGTACGAGGGATGTCTTTTAAGTTTTGCCCGCGAGGATCGAACGTCAGTACTGAATCTTAACCTCACTCTTTAGTAAACTTAAATTCAAAGTTTCACAACGATACGTGAAGTGTTCTTACTACAGTGAATTTTTAAGTGTCACCAAGTCATTAGAAAAATGGAACTCAACCGAGAACATTTTCGCGCCATAACTTATTACATCTTTCAGAGACAATTATCGAAACAAGAATGCCTTGCTGAGTTACTGTCTGTTTTCGGCAACGAAGCGCCGCATCAGTCGACAATTCCTCGTTGGTATGAAGAATTCAAACGTGGATGGATGAATCTTAGCGACGATCCCAGGGTGGGTGCACCAAAATCGGCAGTCACCCAGGAAAACGTCGATGATGTGCGCAAACTCATCATTGAAGATAGACATGTGACATATCGCGAGATTGAGGCGTCCTTGAAGATCTCAAAGACCTCAATTCAAAAAAATTTATATGAAGAATTAGGAGTAAGAAAATTAGTTTCTCGTTAGATACCCCACCTGTTGACTGAAGAGCAGAAAGCAGCCAGGATTAATTGGTGTCCAGGCGTTGCTACCTAGAGACTACCCCCTGAGAGTAGGATTTTGTGAGTGGTTGTTGCAAGAAAATGCTCGAAATGCCCGTTTTACAGCTGATATTTTGGTCACCGATGAAGCTATTTTTACTCGTAATGGAATAATCAATCTTCATAATACACACGTTTGGTCCTTTGATAATCTTCACGCAGAGGTCCAGACACACTTCCAACATCGTTTTTCTTTAAACGGGTGGGCAGGTATTGTCGATGAACCGTTAATATTGCCAGATCGTATTATTTTATTATCTCGAATTCTGTAGTACTTTTATTACATTATTTGAGAAATGATATTCTTGCTAGTGTTGTCATCTGTTAACAGTGTCACTTTTCACAGTTTTTACTTGTAACTGCATACAGCCATTTTTATTTCTTATTAACAAGGAAGTATCGTAATCGCGAAAAATTTCGAAAATGAGATATTATTGTTTTTGGATGTTACATGACTTGTACATCACGAAAATTCTTCTGTATGTCTGTCGTTTTTACTTTCAGTTAATCCTTGGCCCGTCTATAACTTGAAAAGTACCGCTTGGACTTGGACGAAATTTTCACACGAGATAACTGCTAAGCCAAGGACGAAAAAGCTTTGCAATTTTTGAAAATCGAAAAAATAAAAATCGCTCAGACTCCGTTGTTTGACGTTTCAGAGGCTCTGGATCATTTTCAGAAAAAAATGGGACACGCTGTCAGTCGGGACGACGGCAACCTTCATGCGCCAGCCTGTGTGCGCCTGACTGTATTTTCGATCTGGAGTTATAGTATTGTAGCAAGTGCTTATGGCATATTTGACTGGTGTGGTTCAACACTGTTGCCAGATGTTCGATACTTACGGCACGGAAGAATCTAGTATTAACGATATCAATTGAGTGAGGACTATGGTGTATCGACTAATTGTATGGGGCTGTTTGGCTGACTTGATACATGTAATTTTTTTGTTATACATGTTTGTAGCTAGCTCAGAGGGACCAATTTGTATCGAACGTAATCCTTTATCAACTACTGATGCCCGCGTTGCGTAGGAAGTACAGAGTCAACCTACTTGACGCCAATTTTTACTGCTAGTTTCCTGACGACTTTATGTTCTCTTCTTCGAACATTTACCATAACAGCACGGGAAAAGTCAACGAAATGAAAGAAAATGTTTCATTGACAGATGATAGCACGAGGCATGAAGCGTCAGCAGTTTCACGTTTATTTGGGCGTAAATTTAGGATGGACCAAGGTTGAGAGTCACAAATACGGAAACGACTTCAGTTTTATCAAAAGAAAACATTTTATGTTATGAATACCTTGGCTAGTTGTTTTACTGAGATGTCAGTGTTCCAAACTGATACGATGGCGTACAAATAGGTATATGAATCACATTTTTCATTTGATCGAAAGGAGAGATAGTTCACGCGACGTGTACGTCATGAATAGATGATACACGAGTCGGTCAGGTGGGGGTTTTGTGTGTTACGGAAGCGTGACAGTAGGTAGTTAGTTATCGGCAGGTAAATACAGCACAGGTGCTGGGTGGAGTTAAGTCGTTACCACCGAGAGTACAAGGCCTGACAACAGACGCGTGACGTCACTACGAGTAGGCCGGTCGCCCGGCCGACAGCACGGCGTGCCGTACATCAGCGCTAGTAAATAATATATTATTATACTACTATACTAATATACTCTACCTGATGTAAATAACGGATAATTCAAAAAAGTGTTTTTAGTATATGAAGGTAACTTGGTGGAAAATATTAAAGTAGTTATTAACTATTTTCACCGATATTTCGTCCAACATTATGTGCACATTAAAGTAATAAGTTGATGTTAAAAGCTTGCTAAAAATGATAAATTCTTCAATGAATAACCACATGTTAGTCACAACTGATCAACAAAATTTCACAGGAATATGTGGACAATTTACTATTATTATAGGCATAATATAATGGTACTTGAAAATTATATAAAAAATGTAGTGCTTGTTGAACAGTTGTGTTCTTTGCATAGCCGAAAAAGTTATATCTCACATCTGGAACTGGATCGACCATCAAATTGACTTCAGAGTATTTTTGTGTGGTAAAATAAGTGCTCCATGGCTCCTAATAAATCTATATGAATGTGGACTGATTGTATACAACATAGAGGAAAATACTATTGTTTCTGATGAGTAACTGTGTCTGTTCTTCTGACTAATAATAAGCTTTAGTTGCTCACAAATCAATTGAATGACAGTGTGGGTCTCTTCATCGGTGAATAGTTCTGTGCTATTTAAAATATTGTGAGCATGGTTGATAATGGTTCTGAACTGGTCTTTACCTGAATATTCCCTCGAAGCATCTGCATTCTCATAAAGAACTGCATGCAAGTTGTGTATATTAGATAATAAAAATGGAGTTTTAATATTACCTGAGTTGAGAACAATTCTTGTGAGTACATATACGTTTTTACATTGAGATCTTTATCAACAATTACAAAGTGAGTTATGATGGGTGCTGGTTTATATTCTAACTTAAACAAAGTAACTTTATCCTGAACCCATATGGACATTGCCATGAACTGAAAACTGGAGAAAGTCTGAATAATGTTAAAAACTGGTTGATTTTGGATAGGAGGAATAATCATCAATGCTACTTTGCACTGCTTTAAGTAGGTGTTCTTGTTCCTTGTCCCTCAATTTCTCATCTCGGCTTCTTCTGCTTGCTATGTCCTTTGAAAGATATTTTGGACAATTTGCAAAGATACTTGGAATTACATCTGCCTTCTATTTTGGATACTTAAGGGGTACAGTAATGGTCCTACCTGTCTTTTCGTCATGGAAGGTGGATTCCCAAATGATGCTGTCCTCAGCAAAGTGCAAATTGCATACTCTGGTGTTTTTTGTGACCACTAAATCACTACGCGGGATTGCATTGAGCCATCTTTTACGTCAGTTTTCATTCAATGGAAACAAAAATACGTGTACCTTCGGACCCTTCCCGTAATTACCGGCACAATTAGGAACGCAGCACTCGTAAGGCATTTTGAAAACTTAGCTAAACAATCACGAGACAGAAATATAAGTTTAAAACATCAATAATTTACATTTTACATAGCACAGAAAGATACATAAGCGAGGCTCGGAATTTGAGGTTAGTTGGCTGTTGGATGTTAGCGGTGTTACCAAGGTTGCCAAATATTCTAATTACTAGACTTCACAAGTGACAGATTGAACGTAATATCGAAAATGTATTCTTGACATACTGAGGCAGATCAGAAAGAATATTCACATCATCACTGAAGCTGCACAGGCTCCGAGTACCTACATCTTGCAAATTCGCCCACAGAGAGGTACAACTAATTAGTAGAGATTTTGATACTGCTATATCAAATCTAGATATGACAACACCGCAGAGAAATGGTGGCGCTGCTCTCTTGCAGGCAGCATCGCGAAACTCCATAAGAACATGCATAGGCCTACTCAGCGTGACGTCACAGGCTTTTCACAGCCCAGTTGTTTGGCCTTGTACTCTCGGTGGTAACTGTTAAGTACGCAGAATATGACTACCTCATTTTGTCAATGGATATTAACTGAGGAGCCAAAAAAAAATAATAATTCAGCATCCTGATCGGTCACTCTTATAATGTACTCGTAACCACAAAAATCGAAATTTGACAGCAATAGAGACGCAAAAGTACCCTCAAAAAATATTTTAAAAGCGAAACACTTCTCGACCGAATAAGATGACAATCTCTTGGAGAATAAATTAGAAATAATACAAGTAGAACAAAATATGTTACGAGGCTCCCGTATGAAGGCACAGTCTTTTAAGAGACTGATTGCAATAACAAAACTAAACGCACAAGAGGTTTGTTGATTCAATTAAGTACAGGAAAAAATACAAGTAACTATATATTTAGACTAACTATCAATTTCAGTGGGTCATAACAAAACTATTTATAAAAATTAAATAATAAAAAAGATCCCTGATTTTGCTGAATTCATTAATTTATGGAGTTACAAATGCACCCATGTATATGGGTATGTATTATCCCAGTCCACTGGTAATTTTTAACTTTTTCACGAGCTATATACAGTACGAGCAGTATAGTTGAATATAAGGCAGCGTTAGTTCTATAAAAATATTTTTTTTAAATGCCTTGATCTTTTTAGGTCGCAGACTTTTGAAATAGGTGTTTATGAAGAAAATGTTGACAGTAATGCCCTTTACTTTAAATCCTTGATAAGTGCGCTGTCAAATTGGTAAACATGTACTTTTTTCCTTGCGAAAAATCAAACAATAGTTTTCTCGCCATAGTTTACAAAATTGAGACCTATAATTGTTGTTTGCAATAGCTTAAACTGTATAGAGAAAAAAATTACATCGATGCTTCTACTTCTGACCCTAAGAAAGATTTCTTAGTTTGGGATCAGCGTGCCCATCTGTGAGACAGTAGCAGAACCACACGCTCCAAATCTTTGAAAGTAGATTTCTAAATTAATTTATGTGTTCTGATCTGTCTCATAGATGGCGCTAATAGTTTTCAGATCCTTTATCGCACGCCGAAATACAGTATATGGTTGTCTTTCTTCAGGTTACCCAGCGCCTGCACTAAAGCAGGTTAGAATGTGTATCAGGTGGAGTGTTGTGGGTTTGGGTATTACGGAAGCGTGACAGTAGGCAGTTGTCGGTGGTAAACTATAATACACGGGTCACGCATAGATCATCAATAAACCGCCGACAAGGGACGATAGGGGCGAATAAATATCAAACGGGGTGGTAACCTTTAGCGGGTGGAAGCTGCTTCATAGCTGCTTCACCTTTAAACTTCTGCGGTCAAGGTGTATTTATGGACACGCCAACGCACACGACCTGCACTTTTAACAAGTTGCTATTAGAACGTGGTGCAGTTGGTTTTATCATCGCAGCATAGTGGGTGGAAAATCTATTTTCTTAGTCTTTTTCTGGTGAATGGAATTATGTTAGATGGAAAGGCAAGTGGGCGAAGCATAATCAAGTAGCCTGGGCTAGAAGTTCCATTTGCGATGTTACGAGGGTTAATACAGAAATAAGGGTCCCAAAAAGCTCCAGCTACCGAACTATCGATTTTAACGCGAAAGATAGAAGAATCCCCCCCTCCTCGGATATTGAAGTGTATCTATTAATTTTGAGCGCTTTTCGATTTCCAATTTTTTAAATTTCGAGTTTGTATGTATCCGATTTTTCAGGTTTATAATATACCAGCTGGTGGATGTCATTAAACTGAATAAAAAAGTTCATATAAACGTAAATATTTAGCGGCGTCGTTTCTGTGACACAGGGTGTTCAAGTTCATATCTTTTAATTTATATATCTTGAAATGTCTGAGTAATTTAGATTAAACTATCTGAATCGTCGGTAGACCTTAAAAGACTTAATATATATTCATTATTTCTGACTCAATTATCCCAATAGCGACGATACCAAATCTTAACTGGGTATTTCTGGGTTGAACTAAGTGCGGCACTGGATTTGTTATCAATACGGTCAAGGAATTTTCAGACGAAAAAAAAAACATTTTCTGCTACTCGTAAACAAGTAATTTAGGAGTTTGCAGCTAGGAAAATTCTCCAAATAATGTAACTGCTAGAAGTAAACAGTAATCAAGAAATACCCCTGGATCTCTCTAGATTTATTCACCAGGAGGCGAGAAAAACAAATAATCTCAAAGTTTTTGATTGAAGCATATTTACTAAAAAAATATCCCATAGGAATCAAAATGTTTTTTTGTCTTTTATGCCTCCATAGGTACTTTCCAGAAAAAACACGAGCCTGATCTGAGATATGGCCCAGTTAGTCAGAACCTTAGCTTTGACCCAATGGCGGTCTCTAAAGCATTTTTATGACTTTGCAGTAAATTACTTTATATTGAGCTATTAAACACTTTTATTATAAACGTTTTGCATGTAGGTGTCTATGTTTTTGCCATGAATACTTACTCGATAAGCTTATAATAGGTTCAATCCGTAAATTCGTTATCAATGAGTAGGTACTTTTTATTATACGGTACTGATATGATAATAAAATAATGCTGGACTTCAAACAACGAATAGATAATAGCCGTAAAACTAATATTCTCATATGTAAACATGTGCAATATAAAATATGAATAACATTTTGTAAACATGTGGAATCATCGACCTTACAGAAATTCTCACATGTGCTTCACTTTGAATAATTGTCAAAAATAAGGAAGTTTCCGTTTTGCATTTATAAAACAATACATGTTTTTTTCCCTAAGGGGAACTTGCATTTCTTGCACTGGGTAAATAGTGATAATGAAAAGAAACACGAGGTAAATAACGGATGTTTACATTCATGTCGGGCACAGAATTGTCACTGCTATTATACATTTTTGAATATTAGTAATTATTTACTATAGTAAATCATAACTGCCATTATTGTTACTGATAGCTTGAAAGTCATATGCTGCTTGTTAATTTGGAGTATTGAGTGGGAAACGCTACGTATCGACGTACGTAGCATCTTCTGTCTTTGTCGGACTCTATCATGTAGCAGCAGCGTGCCTCTCCTACGGGCCGTTCTGTGATACAGTTCGTGCGCTTTATTTAGACAGTGTTGCTGGACGTTCAGAAAATTCTCAGAAATGCTATATTTCAAAGTTATCATAACATATCAAAGTGAGCAGTGAAAAAAATGTATACGTACCATGTACCACGTTTACAACTGACTAAAAAGGTTCATCTAATTGCTCTATCTGGCACGCAAATCACAATGCTCGCTGCTAGTTACGCGCTGTGCCGTCAGATGCCGGAGAAAACGACGTTGCCAAATGAACTACCGATAGCGTCTATGGCCTGTTTGACCGACTTGATCCGTTTAATTTCTCTGTTATACATGTTGGTAACTAACTTCTTTTCAGAGAGTCTAACTTGGGCTAAACACAATCATTTATCGAACTGATGATGGGAAATGCAGAGTCGACCTACTTGACGTCAAATCCAAATGCAAAAAAAGATAAAACGATATAAGTACTACCACATGTTATGTCCAGACGTGTAAACTAACAACAAATTATGAATTCGTATTCCAAGTAGATGAAAAAGAAACATGAGAGCCTATAGACGTGAAAAAGCGAACATTAAGGTACATATTTATCTTGAGATAAAACATGTGGATAGCATTATCTCCTTAGAGCTTCTGTCGGCAGTTATATCATTCTCACGTTTTTTCACAATATAAATACTGTAATCTGCTGGTATATACTAGCCAAGATATACGGCGGAATCAAATTAGAATCTCCGCTTACGAAAAAGCAATTAGCTACCGAATTAGAAAAGTCTCAAATTGCTACCACATGAAACATACTCACCAGGCTAAATTTAAATTGAACAGTGTTTGAATTGAAAAGGTCTCCATAACTCCTTGCTTGATATTTCATCGGGCATAATAGCCTTAATTAATTTTATGTATTTACTTCTTTTCATTGCATGTCAGAGAGACTTCGCTCTTAGTTAAAGTTTTGTCAGTCAGCTGAACGTGTACTGGAGTTTCCCTTAGGTTAAGTTTACGTTAAGGTGATAGTAGTTGACCTGGTTAAGTTTGAATGCCAGACTTTGTCATTTTTAACTATGTACGAACCTATAATAAATCGGCATTTTTTTAGAGAAAGGCGAATTTAAAGGAAAATAAAATCTGACAACGCCGCAATGCCAGACGCAAATTACGACGGAACGCAGTGTAAATAAAGATGGAGTTTGTTATTTTTGGCTCTTAGGTATTATTTCATTATTTGATAATGTACTCGTAAAATGCAAACAATTAAAAAAAACGGACTTACCACTCACTGTCTCAGCGCTTCACTGGTGTGTGAAAGTTTATTGAACGTATTAAAAAAATCCACGTATAAATAGGGATCACAATTTTGATACATACATTGTTTTCCTTTTTAAAACCCACACTGCACTTTTTTTGTATTTAAAGA